CACGCAGAGAGATATAAAGACAGGCAGACCAAATATAAGAGAGAGAGAGAGAGAGAGAGAGAGAGAGAGAGAGAGAGAGACAGAGGAAAGAAGGAGGAAGGGGGGATGAGAGCAGAAGAGCCCGACAAATTAATCTGAAACAAAATCGATTAGCCTCACCTGTCGCTGCGACAGGTGCACCTGTTTCACACTACAGTTACAATTACACGGTTTTCTTCAAAACCGCAATGAACTAAACCCGCTGCAATCTGGTGGACAATAATCCCTTACGATAAAGGTAATTGCAATGTGTAGAAAATGTGGCAGCACCACCTACTGGTTAGGATGTTTCCCTATGATGGAATCTCGCCACCTACCTACCTACCTACCCGGTCTGGACCTCAGGTTGCTTCGTAAACGTCGAGAGCACGAATGTGAAAGTGCGGTTGAAGGAAAATTTCGGGATTTGTACCTAAGGTTTTTTTTTAATCCAAAAAGTGACTTTTGGATCACTGGGTGTTAGTCGCTCAATAGGCGGGAGGTCCTAGTGGGGTTCACCTTCACTCACTAGCTCTATATCCATGCGTTTGGTACTGTTCAACACTAAGGTTAGTTACGTATCCTTTACAGGACGTTGCAGAACCAACCCCAGCATCCCCTGGCTTTTGCGTGGTTTTTCTAGGCAAATTTAAGTCCAGTAGTTTGCCATTGCTTACTGGACGGTCGGCTTTCTTGATACCACTGTCGAAACCAACGCAAGGCGCATGGCCCGCAGCTGGGTGTTCACAGTCTGAAGACGCATTGATTACGAAAGCACTTAGGGCTGAAGAATAGGCTAGAGGAAGTGAAACTTTCAGGCGCGCCGTCAAGAACGGCCTGCTGGTTGAAGATGATCCTGAATTCGAAGAAGATGGCCTGAGCACATGATCCTTTGTGGCCCAGTGTATTTCGAATTCATACTGAATCCGTCTTTCACTTGGTCTGGGATGGTGAAAATGTCGACTTTCATCGAACATTTTATCTCACAAGTGCTGATTAATGATAGCGTCAAAGTCTGGCAATAGTAACATAGTACTGGTATGAAAATGTTACTTTTGACCTGCGCCAATAACATCACTTATCTGCTGCGTGACTGTGTGCTTCTACCTCATGCATAAACATGAAATCACAGCCAAGCCGATATCAGCGTTTCTGTTCAGATTTAATGACCATGCTCATCAGGTTATTCCTGTTCAGCCCTGTTTTCTTGTTCGATCTCTCACGTGAAGTGTTTCTTATAGCTCTTTCAGTTCACGAACGCCTGCTTTAAAGTGATAATATTTGGGATAACAGATGTAAACGTAGCAGGTCGAGTTCACGAAAGTAACAAAACGGAGTGAGTGGATTAAACTAATGGATATCGAGAAAAGGGGCAGGGGGAGGCGTAGAAATAGTTCAGCATAACAACTGGGACCTCGTCTATTACTCCACTAACTGCACTACCTGGCTGATGCTTGGTGGATTAAGAAAAGTCTATAGATTAAATTATTTTCATTCTATTTCTTCGAGCATTAAAATAATCCTATACCGCCTCGCTAGGCTAGGAACAGGTTATGGACACAAAGTTCACCCGCTGTAAACTCGGAAGGTTTTGGTTGTTCAGCCAGTTCTGGACTTTAGTCTTGTTACCCATCTATCGTAAACATTTCATGTTCAGCAACGCTTAACTTAGAAGTGGAAACTCACAATGACGACTATTTGCCAGTCAACGTCAATAATAAGTAAATGAAATCAACATAGACACAGTTTTAGACAGTTCGCAAACGATCATTTTTGGTAATTATTATATGATGTAACAGAGCTAGGACAAATGGCTAAAATATTTCTACAGACAGCACTCACACATACAGCTAGACATATTCACCACTGAATCCTCAGTGAACGGTGCTGTGGAAGCCAAAGTACGAGCTCTAGAGTCACTTTAACCACAGAGAAAGCTATAGAGGGTAGTGTCTGTACAGGTTAATGTGAATCTCCAGTCACGACTGCACATAGTGCACTGACTGGCTGATTGAATGATTTGCTGTTGATATGTGAATGCTCAATAAGACTTTGCTGTTGATATGTGAATCCTCAATAAGACTTTGCTGTTGATATGTGAATGCTAAATAAGACTTTGCTGTTGATATGTGAATGCTAAATAAGACTTTGCTGTTTATATATGAATCCTAAATAAGACTTTGCTGTTGATATGTGAATCCTCAGTAAGACTTTGCTGTTGATATGTGAATCCTCAATAAGACTTTGCTGTTGATATGTGAATCCTCAATAAGACTTTGCTGTTGATATGTGAATGCTCAATAAGACTTTGTTGTTGATATGTGAATCCTCAATAAAACTTCTTAAGTCCAATGCAATGACATTAGGATTATCTGAGATTTTTTTTCCTGCTCTTTATCCTTCCCCCTCCCCACAACTCTTTTTATTTCTTCCAAAGAAGCATGGACTATCGCGTGCAGCTCACAATATGCCCTCCCCACGTTTTACATATGAAAAGAGTCTCCCAACCCCTTTCCCTCCTCTTTCTGCCACTCCCCATACGACACGGGACCCAGGAACCCACACGGGGGAAAACTCATATACAATCTCAACCTTCACAACTGCTGGCGTGTATATTATGATGTAACAGCCCACGTTTCAACGCAGCATACCCCGACTAACAACTGGAAGAAGGCCGAGATTCGGAATGTTTTATCTGCGGGGCAAAGATGTGTCATTATTGTAAGCAAGCTCTAGCCTAATGCCTGAAATGAAATGCACAATGCATACAGTACACGACTGTGTGGCAACAAGGCGATGTGTTGATTGAGGTATGTAGGTCATATCTGCATGACGGCATATTGGAAGCTACAGGCTGAAATATATTGACTACAGGGAAACTATGACCGTCTTAAACTGTACTTCATGAGACTTGAGGGAAACACACACACACACACACACAGAGAGAGAGAGAGAGAGAGAGAGAGAGAGAGAGAGAGAGAGAGAGAGAGAGGGAGGAGGGGGGAAAGAATATGTGTGCCTGCGTGTGTCTAGGTGAGACAGAGAGGTAAATAGTTAAGAGAGAGAGAGAGAGAGAGAGAGAGAGAGAGAGAGAGAGAGAGAGAGAGAGAGAGAGAGTAGGGAGGAGGGGGGAAAGAATATGTGTGCCTGCGTGTGTGGGTGTTGGTGTTAGGTGAGACAGACAGGAAAATAATTAAATTAAGACAGAACCAAAGACAGAAAAACACACACACAAACACACACACACACACACACACACAGAGAGAGAGAGAGAGAGAGAGAGAGAGAGAGAGAGAGAGAGAGAGAGAGAGAGGGAAGGGGTCTGAATACACATGAAAGGCTACACACATTCTGACAGGCAGAGGGATTGAGAGAGGGAGGTCACGGGGAAAAAAGGCAGAAATTAGACTCAAAGAAATTTGTATGTATTTTTTAATAGGTTAATCGTAAATAACAAAATTCTATAACAATCATAAACGTTTGGAAATTGTGTAAGAAACATTACTATAAAGCCACTTAATACTAATTTTTAGTAAAGCAATAGGGTGGTGTAGCGACTAGATGCTCTGCTTCGAATCCAATCGATTCAGATTTTTCTCAACAACCAAAAAAAAAAAAAAAGACTTGGCTTCCAGAGTGACCCAGTTAAAATATGTAGCAAGTAAAGTCCTGGGAGGTGATGGCGGTCGGGTGATGTGATGTCGACCATATTTCCTATCGACTGGCGATAAAGCTATACAAATATAAGTCTAGCATCATATATACACCAGGTTAAGTTTTAGTTAGTCTCTCCAAACAAAGTAGGTCACGTTTCATTCACAAGTTTGTTGGGCTGGTCTACTTTCCTGCAGTTTACAAGTTTGCTGCTCTATTGTTTGCTTTCTGTGTTGTCTTGCATTTACGTTTTTATTCCGAGAAAGAGAATGCCTGTGACATAGGTTGCAGCACTCTCTAAGGGAGTTGGGTTAAACCCAGTTTGACCATGTGAGCTAGTGTGTATATAGGCGGGATGTGGGGAGACCAACGTTAGTTTTACCTATACACAGTTACCCCACCGTTGTGGAAAAAGTCCTCTTTTTTTTTAGTGTTAAAAGCGCTGGCGTGCTGAAAGATACAAAACGCGATATGAGCTGTATGTATTGCCAAACACTCCTGTAACCTTGTGCGAAGATCACGTAGCTCAAGGTCTACCAATCAGAAGTGAGCTAGTGTGTATATAGGCGGGATGTGGGGAGACCAACGTTAGTTTTATCTATACACAGTTACCCCACCGTTGTGGAAAAAGTCCTCTAATTTTACTCACTTTTATTGTGGTCGGCAAACTCAAAAGAGCCTAGTCGCTAAAGAGCCACATGTGGCCCACAAGCCGCGATTTGCTGACCACTGTGTTAGGCTAATGGGAATATACCATGGAAAAAGATTCAAGACTGAGAACTTTCGTTTTATCAATGGATACTACTGCCTCGTGTTAGCAGTTATAAAATATTAAATGAGCATCCATGTTCCGAAGAAATAATTTCTACACCTCTAGGGAACGCGCCAGCTCCGAGATCTCCTGTTATCGAACTTGTAGAATACTGGTCTTGTGAGGTTGTAAAACCAGAACAGTGAAGGACTGGAGCCCGAGTGGGGGTGTATGTTCACATCAGACTTAACTTCCCCTCATGCCTGTGACCGAAATCACCGCGCCACAAATGAGCATTCAGGAAGAAATAATTTCCTGTTATCGACCACTGGCTTGTAGAATGCTAGTCTTGTTGTTGTTCTTCTTCTGTCTCTGCTACTCTTCTTCTACCTCCTTCTCCTCCTTTTTCTTCTTCTTCTTCATAATCATCATCTACTACTACTACTTCTTCTTCTTCTTCTTCTTCTTCTTCTTCTTCTTCTTCTTCTTCTTCTTCTTCTTCTTCTTCTTTTGCCACTGCTGTTCTTTCTTCTTCTTTTTCTTCTTCTTCTTCTTTGTTTTCTTCTTCTTCTCGTGTTCTTCCTCAGCATGCGTCTTCTTCCTCACCCTCCTCTTATTCTTTCGCCCATGAAGTGGAGATTGGTACATTGTGTTGTAGTTTGTACCTAGATTGCAATAACAGTGCCTTTCTCCCATGCAAACCTATTTAGCAAACTGGGTCTTCCCAAGAGGAAATGGGTCATTTCGGTTTTTTGCTCAGGGGCAGAAATGCGGTTTTGCAGAATAATATTTAAAATTCCATCAGCAGTTCAAAATAGTAATCCAGATGTTTGGAAAGAGCCGAGGGCTGAAAGACAACTGTCATAAATACCGGAAAGAGGCAGAGAAAAGAGAGGAAAAGATAAAGCGACAGATTATTGACATACTTTTTATCTTGGTATTGAAGTGTATACTAAATACTGTACACAAACTGGTAAATGCTGTTGGAGATCACAGGGTGTGGAGAGGGACGACTACATTGCCAGTCGGCAAAGCACTTGTGGATGATGATACTGGTATTTTTATCCCAGTTTAGTGTTTTCAAGTAATTTAAGTACACAATTTCCAAGGCGCAATTAAATTCTCCCACTTTCTGTCAGCACGTACTTTTTCACCTCTCCAGATGTGACCTTACGTTTTCTAAAGAAGTTAAATTCACCAGCTAAAGCAGTCATAGAATCTTTTTGGTGTCCACAGTTCATGACCTGTCGTGTTATGTTATTGTTAGGAATTCAGGCTCCTAATACAACATCAAACACATATAACACTGAAATTAGCAGTCTAAAAAATTCATGCACCTACTTACCTGTATAATCCAGTGAATTAAATATCCTTATCTATTTTTTTGTATTGATAAACAGTTCCTAAAACATTAGAGTCATTCATATATACAACACACATCTTACAACCAACCACTACGCATGCGCCATTGCATGAAGGTCTGCCCAATCAGGCATGCAAACACACAATAGCGT